CAAGTGTGAAGTTACTAAGGCATTGGATCATTACATTGGAAGATCTCAAGTTATGCATTCATCAGGGGGAGAAAATACGCGCTGCACTCTTTTTCCCTTAACCATGGTTTTGTCCCACATTGAGTTTTCTTGGTAAGGTTTTTAACGAGGCAGTATGTCAAGGCGTATTATGAAAGTGTTGTACTCTTTTTTCTTCACTAGGTTTTTATCCCTTCGGGTTTTTCCTAGTAAGGTTTTAACGAGACACACTATTTGATAATGGTCATCCAAGGGGGAGTGTTATATAATATATGTATTTAGTAGATGTTCATTATACCCTTATGATAATTCTAGGATATTCTAGATATACTATGTTTATTATTCTACAAGGAAACCCTAATTGTATCACTGACACACACACACACACACACACACACACACACATATATATACTCCTACATCATTGAGTAATAAATATAGGGATTTGTTAAACATCGCCCACAAATTACTACATAAAGCCCACAAAATTAATATGATTTGACAGTTTTGCCCCTTTGTCAATTTTCTCTGAAAACGAAAATTTCACTCACCGAAAAATGTGGAGTCGTACGGGGACGCCGGGGGAGGCCGGAAATCCGGGGGACGACGAATGTCATCGGAAAAGACGGCTGGCGTCCGGAGGAGCCGCCACCACCGTGGCACCGGCGCCTGGCCGGGACGCCGCCACCATGGCGGTGGCGCCTAGCCAGGACACCTGTACCATGGTTGAGGCTTCCAGGCCAGGCGCCATGACCATGGTACTGGCGTCCCGGCTAGGCGCCACCACCATGGTGGCGGCGTCCCGGCCAGGCGCCGGTTCCAGGGTGGTGGTCCGGCCAATTTTTTTTTTTTTTTTTATTTTTTATTTTTTTTTTACATTTGACTTGCTTAAAATTCAAAATAAAAAATTTTCTCAGTTACCAACAAAAAAAAAACAAAATATTAAAAAAAAAAAAATTTCTCAATTTCCAACAAAAAAAAACACAATATTACACAAAAAAAAAAAACAAAAAATTATCAATTTCCAACAAAAAAAAAAACATGATATTACAAAAATAGAAAAAAAAAATCTCAATTTCCAACAACAAAAAAATATTATACAAAAAAACAAAAAAAAAAAAACAAAACAGGCTGGTGGTGGGGCGCCTGGCCAGGACGGCCGATGGCTGGTGGTGGCGCCAGGTCCGGTAGCCACGTCCACCGGCCTGGCGTCTGGGCAGGACGCCCAGCCACAGTGACTGGCGCCTGTCCCAAACGCCACTTACCGTGGCTGGGCGTCCTGCCCAGACGCCAGGCCGGTGGACGTGGCTGCCGGACCTGGCGCCACCACCACCTTGCCGCCACGAGCCAACCCTCCCTCCTCCGCAGCCGCCGCCAACTCTTTGCCTTGCCGCCTTGACATCCTCATACTTTGATTTTTTTTTAGGTTGTGTTTTTTTTTAAGGTCAAGGGCAATATTGTAACTTCAATATAAGTTTGCGGGCTTTATGTGGAGATTTACGGGCGATGTTTAGCAATCCACTAAATATATAGATCTATTCTCTCCTCTACTTTCTCTTTCTCTTTAATTTCATAACACATGTATTTTTTTTTCTAAATTTATTTTCAACTTCCATATAATGCCTATTGGTCTATTATTTTTTCTAATTTTATTACTCATTAGCCTATTAAATCTTATTTAAACGTTTTAAATAATGCCATTCAAATGTTTCAAAAAAAAATAAATTTCCATTAAAAAAAAAAGTTAACTTGGATACAAACTTTAAAAAAATAAAAAAGTTTAGATAATTTCAATTAAAATAAGTTTAGAAAAAAAAAAGGTTTAGATAATTTCAAATAAAATAACTCAGATATAGCTTATTTAAGCTTGTTTTGTTTTAACTAAACTTATTTGAACTTATTAACTAAAATATGAACTTATTTAAAATTGTTTTCCCTAAAATGAGTAGAAGCATTGTGAATAGAATCGGGACTGAACTTATTGTAACTTATCTAAACTAAACCTATTTTATCCGAAGTTATGAACTTATTGTATTTTATCCAAACTTATTTGAACATGTCATCTCGAATATAAACTTATCTGAAACTGATACTGGTTAACGTGAACGTCAATACATGAATTGTTAACAAATCGACTCAAAAAATGTACCCGAACCCGATATGACCCAACCTGAGATCAATCCGAGACCCAAATTAACCCAATATTTGAGACCCGAACATGACCCGACCTAATTATAACCCGCAAATTATTAACTTGAACCAATCCCGACTCAAACCCGAGAATGATCCTAACTCGTTTTAACCCGTTAAAACCCGAATTAAACCCGACCTATTATTGACCCGACCTAAACCCAACCCAAACCCGATAAGATGTATGACCTTACGTGACCCGACTCAAGCATGAACCAACCTGAACTCGACCCGCATATGTTACGACATTAACCCAAATTGACCCGACCCGAGTTGGCCTGACCCACACTAACGTGACTCGTTTACCCAAATTGAAAGCTCTACTTAATTGGGTGTCTTAGCTTGCATTATACTTCCTTATTCCTCTTTTGTTTGCACCATGGGTCCACTTTATGTGAGAGCTTTTTAAGTTAAATGGTGCAAACAATAAGGAACAGAGGGAGTAGTGTATGTATCTATAACTAATAAAAAGAGAATCATAGGTTTGGTACAAAAGGAAAATTCTACAGTGAATTGTTTACTATAAATTCCATCCAAGTCCCAAGGCCATCAATTTGTTTTTCATTTTTTTTTAACTTTATCCCTTTTACCATTTTTTTTAATATCAACATTTTGCTTTAGAGTAGGCTAGGCAAGAATTTTAACATTTTTTTTTAATATCAACATTTTGCTTTAGAGTAGGCTAGGCAAGAATTCGTGTCGTGTTCGTATTTGGTCTCATATCAATTTCGTATTATTCACTAATTCTATCAAAAACTATGTACACCTTTTTTTTTTAATGTATTTTATAAGAAAAAATTAACCTTTTGCTTTTGAGTAAAGCTAACGAAAATTCGTGTCATGTTCTCGTTTAGACTCGTGACAATTTCTTCTTGTTCACTAAATCTATCAAAAACTATGTAAAACATAAGATAATTGCATAATTTGACTACTTTATCTGACACAAGTCGCGTTTAGGTTGGTTTGGTGTTGTATCATGTCGACTTCTTTTAGTAATTTCGTGTTCTTGTCTTGTCAATTTCTGTCGTATTGTCGTGTTGTGTCAAAGATTAACGACTCCACTTTTTAAATTTTTTTTTCTATTACTATTTTTTAAAACTTTAATTTTGTTTTTAACTTTTTTTTAAATATTTGTCCAGAAAAATTAGCCTTGTCTTATCTTGAGACTTTTCTCTAAATTTTAAATAGTTTTTTTTTTTTTTTTTTAATGTTTTATAATATTTTAAAATTTCTTCAGACTTAATGTTTTTTAACTCTTCATCAACCCTCAACTTATATAAGACTTCTCAAAACCTATACAACTATATATTGCCAACATCATCATTATTGTATGCTGACATCACTCATGTTCCTTTTTCAAGTCTTACCTTGGGTCTTGAAAAATCAAGACTCCATTTCACACTTTGTTAAGACAAAACAACATCAATGTAAAAAACTTATGAAATCGTATCTTAAGACTATTGAAAACCAATTAATGATGATGTCATGCAAAGTCTTAAAATTTAGGGCCTTTTAAGAGGTAATCATCTTAAGCTACGACACATTTGAATCTTTTTTTGTTTAATACTCCCTCCGTAAATAAATGAAACGTTTCACTTGTGCACGTATGTCATTGCAACACTTTAACTGATAATATTTTCAATTATCAATAAGTAAAAACTATAACAATTGAATATAATAAATTATTCATTGAGACAATTCCAACAAGTACCCACAATACTATATTTATTCTTATTTATAAATCACATAGTCAAAGTGATCAATTAGATGAATAGTGGAAAAAGTCAAAACGTTTCAATTATTTAAACACGGAAGGAGTATTTTTTCTTTTTTTTCAATTGTGTTTTTAACTTTATTTTTAGTGTTTGTCATAGCTATAATTATCTACAGCTATGTCACATACACTTGAGTCCTTTTTTTATTCAAAAATGGGAGGAGGAATTACATAAAGTACTTAAAAAAAAAAAAGCAAAGTACAAAAAAGGTCCGTGGATAACAAATAATAAATATATGAAATAGCACTACTAGGGTGTGGGACACAAATATTTAGAGAAAATATAAGGGTATCTTAGGTAGTTGAGTGAATAATAAAAACAAAAAAAAAGTGAGGATAATTTAGTATTTTCATAGTATCCAGATAAAAAAAAAAAATTGATATGAGAACAACATTATAGAGCACCTAAAAAGGAAATGAAAATTGTATTTGAGAACGGAGGAAGTATTTTTTGTTTTTAGCCTTTTTTTTTTTATATATACGGTAGTTATTATAGTTATCTACAGTTACAACTTAAACAACATTTTTTTTAATCTTTTATCATTACTCTCCATGTTTCATAAGTTCTCAGGAATTTCAACTTTCCATGATTTTTTTTTTCATCAATCAAGTGACATTTTAAAGATTTCAAAGACAAATAATACCATTGTGAAATGAAGGAACCAGGGGAGTACCAGTTAATGTTTTTTTTTTAGATAAATTTTACGGAGTATCATTTTGTAGTTACTCCGTTTATCAATTATAGGTATGTGCATAGTACATTCTTTTGGGATAATACAATGCCTCTTATATGTAACCACGTGCACATAGTATAGTAGGTTCACTAGTAGAAAAAATGAAATAGACACCCCCTTTTAGGACCGATTCTTGAAAACTGGTGCCAAAAAAAAATGGGCGGAATTGGAAAAATCAGTGTTGGCACCGGTTCCAACCAAAACCGGTGCCAATCGTTTCATTAGCACCGGTTCAAACCGGTGCCAACTTATTAAAAAAAAAACCGGGCTCGCTTTTCTTTCTTTCTTTCTTCCCCCCCCCCCCCGTTTTTTCCATCTTCTTTCTCACAGATCCTGATCTATTCTTTCAAAAATACAAATTAGGGTTTCTTCGTTTTTTCTCTTTCCCCCTTTTTAAGGATCGTCTTTTCCTCATATTCTTCTTCCTCTTTGTTTGGTTTAGCTTAGATTTGACTCTACTGTTTTCGGATTCAACTGCATTTTCTACTTCGTTATTGGTTTGATTCTACTTTGATGATTTTCATGTGTTTTTAATTTGTTTGTGTTTTTACTGATTTTTGATTGATTGGGGTTTATTTTCGTCATTGATTTTTGTTGTTAATTTAGGTTTTTTTGGCTGTTAATTGCGTAGTTTTTATTTATTAGGGTTTCCAAGCGGCGAATTTGTTTTATTTTTGTTTGTTTTTCTAATTGTAATGGTTGGTATTGATTGGAGTTTCAATTCTCTTACTTCCACCATCCTGAATTTTCACCTTCTCCATTCTGATTAAAGCTATGTTTTGTTTGAGATTGTTTTAGTAATAAAAAGGTGAACTAAAATCCTGATTCTTCGGTTGTGCAGAAATTTTGAGGGGTTTAGTATTATTTAGAGCTAGATTCTTCAAGTTGTGCAGAATATGAGGGGTTCAAATTATTTAGAGCTAGATTCTTCAAGTTTTTCTGAATTCCTCTCTCAGTCCGTCACCTCCGACTGCTCAGCGGCGCCTTTGCGTTAATTGATAGCTCCAATGGCGTTTCGAGGTGTGGGTTTTCAATTGACAGCAACTATAAACTCGGATAAGCAGAGGTAAGCAATTTGAGTTAGTGGTTGCAGTTTGCTATGGTCTAATTGTAGCTTAATTGGGGTATTCTGGTTTTGCTTATGATCGATTAGTTATTGTTGCTAATTAATCAGAGAGTGTTTGCAATCTAGTCTGAGCTAATTGTAGTTTGAATTGGTAATTATCTATTTTGATTTATAATTAGGTTTGGGTTAATATTTTAGTTATTGCTTCATTTGGCGAAAGGATTACATATGCATAAACTATATACATCAATACATGTACTATGACTCAAAGTGCTCCATCCTTCAGCACCTTCTGAATTACGTGATTTCCCAAACAGTTGGATACATTATGTTGTTATATTTATGAGGGAAAATAATAATAATAACTTTGTATTCTTTTTCTAATCAGATTCATATTTTGGAAAAGATAGATGGCATTTCCGCTGAAACTATGTTGTTGTTGTGGGGAGTATGAGGGAGAGGCACAACATTGACTCGAAGTACAAATTCTACTTCGATGCACTTTCCGAACAGTTTAATACTGGTTTGTCCTGCTGCCTAACTCTTTTCTTAAATGTTTTAAGCTTTACACTTATCCATTCATTATGATCACATGGGAGCTAAATGATTAGCATCTAGGAGATTACTTTTTAAGAATTTATCTCCTAGTTCTACCAGCTTTATCTTGCCTGGTCAATTCGTTGAAAAGAAACATATATTATTAATCACACTTGTCTTCCATACTTTCTCCTACTATGATGAGCAGACATTGAATTTCAGGCATTCTTCCGTTGACCATTATTACTTTGCATTTTTTTTTGTTTTCTTTTCATATTTGCCGTGTTTTTTTTTTTCAAAATTTCCTTTTAAGTTAAAATTTCTATGGTCCACTAATTAGTAATTACTCCCTAGTTTACAATTTTACAACCTTAATTTGTACGGAAACACTTTGCAGACTCTTCTCTTCTCTCCCTTTTTTTGTACAAAGAAACTGTACAGCTTTCATTCTCAATTCAAGCACTCAAAGTAAGTTCTATGATTTTGGTTTTAAAGCTAGATTTTTCAAGTTTTGCAGAAATTTTGAGGGGTTAAAATATTTTGAGCCATCTCATACAAATCTAAATTAGTTGTTATTATGAGGGGTTGTTTATTTTTGAGCTATCTCATTTCATCTAAATTAATCAGAGAGTGTTAAAGTGTAATATGTAGCACATTTTGGTCCAAGATAGAAAGGGTAGCACATTTTTAAAATGTTGCTCGATCGAGGTAAAGTTAGTTTCTTTCCTTCGGTGAAAGTCATTTTTGGTAAAGATTTTTTTTTTTGTTGACATGAGCTTAATTAACTGAATAAAAGATTACAAACTATAATAAAGTTAGTTACCGCGTCTCTATCTCTTCCAGCGTTCTTCATCAAAATCCTACCGTCTAATTTCAAGTTGCTAATTAATCAGAGAGTGTTAAAGTGTAATATGCCTGGTGTTTGATGTTCTGGTTGTTGCTGGAATTCTGGTCCTGTTTTTGTTTGTGTTTAAATGGTCTCTGAAGCTGTCTGGTAAGCTTGCTGATCTTCTGATGTTTGTCTGCCTGCTGCCTTAGCTGGACATGCTGATCCCTGCTCGTGTTCTTATCTGGATATGCTGATTTCTGTTCGTGTTTCTGTCTCTGTGCTGGGGCCTTGAGTGCTGTTTTTTGATGTGTGTTGCTTCTTCATTAAATGCGTTAAACACAATATCTACCATATAGAATAATAAGGGAAAATATAACGAGATGTTATACTATCTAAAATTCGAATGATATTGGCCTATTGGGTAGAATCTCTATCTTACAAGCCAACTCTTTTGCAATTTAATCTGTCTTAAATTACCAAATTGCCCTTATCTTTTCAGTAATCTCTTAGACGAGTTGTCTATGTGTCTTATAGTACATATCATGTGCATTTAGAATTAGTTTTTGCAATATTAAAAAAAAAATCATCACATTTTCTAACTTGGTAAAACAGATGGACAAGGCAGCTCTCCTAGAAAGAGTAGTAGAGCAAGTTAAGGAGCTAAAGAGAAAAAATGAAAGTTAGCTTTGGTCCTGGTTCCAAGAATTTCCCAGGTTTTTGCCTTTTTTTTTTCTACAAATATTTTCTATTTCTGGGGGTAATTCCTCATGTAGATATGTTCATATGTATTATCAAGTTTCTTTTGCTGGTGCCATCTGTTTCTGTAGCAGAGTATTTTCTCTCAGTTTCCTTTGTCCTTCTATGTTTTCCAATGAGAACTTAGCTGAGGTCTTTTGAGAACATACTCTCCATTTCAGCTGATGGCTATTGCATGTACAGTAAGCTTTTGTAGCTATGCTAACCTTGATAATCGTGCACTAATAAAGGATACAATTTGTTCCTTAAGCTCTTAATTGATAGGCAAAGGCAGATGAATTAGCTATTTGTCATTTTTTGCTTAACATATTTAGGAATGCTGGATGCTTGGATTTAATGTGTTGAATATTTCCACATTAGGAAGGAAACTACAGATTAACGACTTGTTACGAATTTAATCACACGTGTTACGGTCTGTATTATGATTAAGTGAAATTACCTTTACCTTGATCTGTCTTTTTTAATTGTAATGAAGCTCTTTGGATTCTCTGCCTAGTTACCTCCTTGCCGGTCTATTGCCGACAATTAAATTAGTGTCTCTAAGCGCAAAAGGGAAGTATTCATTATTAATCAGAAAAATTCAGCTCAGTTCATTATTAATCACTTAAATAAACTAAGGTCTTTCATTTTTTTAATAACTTGCTTTATATATTCTGCTATATATCTTCCCTTTTGTTCTGGTTTGACAAACGGCTGTATAATTCGAGCATTCCTTTGTCATAGGGATTACTTAACTCTGATGGTTTAGGCCCTATTTCATGGTGGGTATAATTCCCGATTACTGAAACTGATCATCACAGCAAGAACCAAGCTTAAAAGTTGACATAATAACCAGGCCTGATCATCGAAGTCATTCTAACAATCAAGTCGCAACAAAGCTGCTGAACTTGGTTCCCTGGTGCAATGTCCAGCTTGGTTACTCACTACTGCCACTAGCCTTCTTTGACACATGATGAATATACTCCTTGTAACTTCTGCAAGTGAGAAAGAGTTTCAGAGTATTGTTGAGAGAAACCGTAAGGAGGCAAAAGCAAGCTCAGCTCATTGAACGTTTGCTAGCTCATTGACGATTTCTGTGAATTGGAGTATTTCTTAATTCAAGCTGCTGTTTTCCTATTTTGTTTTGAAAGTTAACAGAAAAAATGTAACTTTATATATATGTTGATGTTTACATATCAATTTAAGTAGAAAAAAATGCAATTTTTTTTTTTTTTTTTTTTGGGGAATTTTTGGCACCGGTTTTGACCAGAACCGGTGCCAAAAGTTTTTTTAAATTTTTTTTTGAGACTATTAGCACCGGTTTTAGGCAAGAACTGGTGCCAATTGCTTGAGTTGGCACCAGTTTTGAACCGGTGCCAAATATTTGGGGATTTGGCACCCCTCAAATCCCCAACGGTTCAAAACCGGTGCCTTTGGGGGGGTTTGAACCGGTGCCATATTCCCTTTTTCGTGTAGTGGTTCACCCAAGGTGGTTTTTCTCTTATTAATATTATTTTTCTTATTTTAATATTTTAAAATGAGCAAAAAAAATACCCATACCTTGTATATACAAATTTTCCACAATAATACGTATATACTCTCCATGTCCTTGTTCCTTTTTTCTCTTCATCCCTTTCAACTCTTTAATTTGAATCTTTTGGATTTCCTTATTACTTACCCTCTATGTCCTCCCCCATCTTTGCATTAATTATGATATGTATTAAGTACTCCGTAAAAGATCACAAGTTAGAAATACACATATTTTCCGTGTTTGAGGTAAGTATTTGAAAGTTTTGTACTTCCTCTATTCTCTTTTATAATGTGATGTTAGGTTTTTTTTTTTTTTTTTTTTTTTTTTTTTTTGTGAAAGAATAATGTGATGTTAGATATTTAATGCTTGCTAATGATTTTTTTATTTTTATTTTTTTTGTGAAAGAATAATGTGATGTTAGATATTTAATGCTTGCTAATGAATATTTTATATTGCCTAATAATTAACACATTTTGACTTTATCGTGTTTTTTTTGACACAACATGAAGGAATTAGTTTTCTAAATTTCAATCACACTATCAAAGTCTTTTATTTTCAAAATTTAAGCACTCTTTTTTCCCACTCCAACATAAGTTCAGACAAACAAATAATTTTTACATAACTTAGCTTCTACTTCTACGATAATAGATTCATGGAAATTGTACTATTTTTTTTTCTAAATGTAGAAATTTGTCACGCATTAGCACATGTATACCCTATTAATATTAAGATTTTATGTTGATCACCTTACAACTAGAGTAGAATAGACCAAAAGTCCAAAACCAATACAAAATTACTAAAACTTATAAATAGTGTATAAGTGAAATCGTGTTAACTAAAAGATAATAGAGAGGAAGTATGTTAAGATCAATCTTCTCCACATTTTTTAATATCCATGTTTAGAATTTTTACAAGTACTTACAATTATTTGCGGGAATCTAGCTTCCATATTATTTCAAAATATACTACCCATGGTAATACCAAAATATATACTTGATCATGTTAAAAAAAAAAAAACAATTATATCTAATGATCCTTAAATCGAAAAAATGTAAAAGGACTATATGACTTTATTTTTACCATGAATAATTTGATAAAAAATTTAACACATAGTATTGGGTGCGGCAGTCCACACCCAATAGTTCGTGCGAGGAGAAGGTGTAGCCGCAGCGGTTGCGAAACTCCATCCTTTTACCCACCTGCAAAATCAAACACATTGAACCACAATCTAGATCTACATCCCCAAAATCCCCAAAATAAAAACAAATCACAAATTAAAACTAATAAATAACCCTAAATCGAAAAAAAGCAAAAAAAAAAAACTTACAATTAGAGGTGCTAATGGTGCGGCGTCGGCTTGAGCGAGGAAAGACAAGGGGTTTGTGGGTTGGTGGGTTCGGTGGTTGCATGGTTGGACTCACTGCCTCATGAGTCGGTTCAGTTACACATCGGACGACGGCGGCAGACTTCCAAAAGGTTCCAGAAAGACGAGAAGGTCTAGAAAGATAGGGTGTTTTGTTGAGGTTGTAGTGAGTTGACGCGGTGAATGAGACCGAGTTATGGTCGAGTCGGAGGACGGAAGTGTTCATTTTTTTTGGGGAGGAGGTGAGAGAAACAAGAAAGGTGGGCTGCCATTTTTTGGGGGGAAGAAGAGAGAGAAACAAGGAAGGTGGGCTCCTTGGGGAGAGAAGGTTTTAGAAAACAGGTACTTCGTACTTGTAATTGGGTTTATATTATGTGACGTGGAGATGTTTATATTAGCCAACAAATGATGTATATAAACCATTAAAATGATCATATTAGCTAATTTATGTCTGATATCAATAAACATTAGGGACATATTAGACATTAATAAAAACGTATTAGTCAATACAAGGAACATATCAGCCAACAAAAGGAACATATCAGTCAATAGAAGGAACATATCAACCAACAAATGAAGCATATCAGCCAACAAAAGGATGAAATCAACAGACTAAAGCAACAGGTAAGCCAACAAAATGAACACATTAGCCAACAAATTGAAACATATAAGACAACAATTAAAATATACATATCAGCCAACAAAATAAATATATCAGCCAACTGATGTCTGATAGCAGCCAACAAGGAACATATCAAAAATATATAAAAAAAAATCAGCCAACAAAAGGAATATATTAGCCAACATAAAAATCATATCAGCCAAGTAAAATATATTAGCCAAGTAAAATATATTAGCCAAGTAAAATATATTAGCCAACCTGTCGCACGCATAATTTGCGTGCTTAGTCCGCACCCAATACCTTCTCAAAATTTAATTAAAATTAAAGAGATATCACACAATAATTTTTCCCTAAAAAGGGAAAGAATTAGTTTAAGAGAAAATGCATACAATTGATCCATTCAGGATTTGAAGTGATATCAGTGTAAATGATTCATCATAGTAATCAATGTAAAACCAATCTTTTTTTATTTGTGCCAATAAATGTATTACTACATAAAAATACCATGCGCTTACAAATACTCCCTTTGTTTTACAATATATATATGTTGCTCTAGCTACTACCTCCTTTTAAGCTCACAAATGTTTACTTTTAACGCTATTCTTACAATCCACTTAATTATATTTTCTTAAATATACATACAAAATAGTTTTAAATTCTTGTGTAATCTTGCTAGCTTTGCTTTAATGTGTGTCGAATTTTTATAAATTTTAATTTATTCATAGTTGAGAATATTATGAATTGAATATATGCATTATTTGCAAACATGAAAAATATGTGTCAATTTAAAAATAATAGGAAGTATATTAATGTATAAGTACAAGTAATTACATACTAAATATTTAGTGAAATAATAGGAACTAAAACTAATTTTATAAAATATAAATTGTTTTTACGTAATGTTACTTGAATAAGATGAACAGAATAGAACCTTACTTTTTTTTTTTTTTTTTTTTTTTTTTTTTTTTTTCCTGTTTACACACAATTACAATTTTTTTTATAGACTACAATTACAAATTCGGTCAGTTACTAATGAAATAAAGTAATTTATTTTGCATTGAAAGTTGGTTGATACGTCACGCGACGGCCCAACTAATTTATAATAAAGATGAATATTTGTTACATAATTGTATTATGTGGAATACAACTCGATTATATCTTTCATGCTTTTATCCTTGACTGCACCTGTCTCTAATCAACTTTGCTATGAAGCGAATGCCATGTCCGAGGAGCAAAATTGCCATCAACAAAGCCCAGGAAATAAACATGACTTTCCATGTAACCCATGTTGTACGGTCTCGTCCGGAGCCATGTATATAGAGTGACAAAAAACATATCGAGAACAAGTAAGTCATAATTGTAGCTGACACTGCAATCCACATGGTTATCATCAAAATTCCTACCAGAAGTTTCTTGAAGGGAAGCCCGCTTATAAGGAGAAGAATAACACTTAGAGACGAAATTAGTCCTATGGTATTACTGACTAATAGTGTGTTGTATAGACCTCGAGTTTTTATGGCCATTATAGAACCCGCAACATGGTCTAGATTGTTATTACCATTTGCCATAGTCATTTTGGAAGAAAAGCATGCGTTTCGATTATTTTGATCATCTTGCCAAGTGCCCCCGGGAGGGTTGATTCCGACTTGAAAAGCCATGGTTGCTATCAGGGATGCTACCACCATCAACGTGTTGCGTTTTTTCTCCAACCAATCTTGATCACTCGTTATTCTTCGTGATTTGAGCATATTCTTTGACTGTAAGACTTTGAAATGCTTGAGAGATTGCAAAATATCCTCGTCCCTCAAATCCATCTTGCTTCGAATGTGAGTATCTATTGCTGTGAAGTCATTTGTGTTAATGGCATTTACTTCAATGGACGTGGCTTTTAGTAAAAATGTTACAATCTGCAATGTCAAATAAAATCATAATTGAAAGGATAAATTATTGCTTTCTTATCAATGCAATATCTCATGCATGCACGTAGATCTAGGTATATGTCCGAAATATTGGAACTTAGCTATAATGTACTCCCTCCATCCTTTAAAGATTGTTCTATTGTCTTTTTTAATTTAGGGGTTAAACCTTACATACTTTGACTACAATTTTCATCCATAAGCCATGTGAGATCTTATTGAATTCGTTTCAAAAGCTACTTTAAGGTTATTAAATTTTTATAATTTTTACGCACACATGGTTTAGGGTTTAGGGTCTAGGGTAATAATCCTTAGAGATAAGTTATCATTTGAAGAGGCAGATACAAAAAGTCTCTCGCCTCTCCTCTCCTCCTCTCTTCTAGGGTTTCTCCAAAGAAATTAGACTATTTCCGACCCTTTTTCCTTAATTTTCCTTAGTTTTGCAATTTAGGTTTCAATAAATCTACACGATACTGTAGATATTCGTCCATCTTCCTATGGTGGAGTGTCTCCCTATGGTGGAGTCGTTAGTTTTTATTAGTTTAGTTGTTTGTTTATGTTTAGGGTTTGTTTGTGTGTTAGGGTTTATCAAAAAGGTAATCATCTTTTGCCCTATTGTTAGTTTGTTGGTAAAGATTTGTTAGGAATCGCAACGGTTGTCAAGTTTTCAAATGCGTTCAAGCGAATCAGATGAAAATCATCCTTACGACTACAACAAATCGTCAGACCGTCTCTCCGAAAAGGTTGTATATTCCAGCGATGTGTGCGAGAGATGTACTATAGTGCAAAATCTTTTCAACGATTGTAGCTTTGATGAAGAAAACCCTAATTTGATTCAATTTTATGTATTTGTTAATTTTTAGATTTCATTTGTAGACGTCGAATGACTTTTTATTAATGAATTGATTTGTTTCAAAAAAAATAAAAATACTCCTTAGAGATATTATATTATAGGACATATCTTAAAGACCGTAAAAAATTATATGGGACAAGTACGAAGTAGTGAGCGTGTAGTTTAAGTAGAAGTCCTGCATATGGGTATAACTCGGAGTAGCATGGCATTTTTCTACTTAAAACAAGAGGTACAATACACGATATTGTTGTTTAACACAATTTTAAAATTAAAACCTACTCATTTGATGAAAGTTTTGCAAATCAAATTTAATACGAAAAGAACGAAAAAAAAGTCCCTTAATTTAAGTTGATGCATGGAAATCTCACCTCTGGTTGTTTTGCAATCACTACTAAGTGCAAGATGGTATTACCATCACTATCCTTTGAATTAATCAACTGATGATCATCTAGAAACGTCGATAAAAACTTAAGAGCCTCAGGTTGTCTATGTTTGATGCACAAATGTAAAACAGAATCACCGTTATTGGTTCGCTCCCATGCTGCCTGTGAGTAGGCCTGAAGAAGCACATCAAGCACATGAACTTGTCCACACATTGCGGCGACATGGATCGGGTTCCTTCCGTCCTGATCACGCGAAAAACATAAGTTAGGCTTCACTGCAAGCAAATGTCTAACAACTTCCAAGTGCCCTTTCACCGAGGCCAAATGTAGTGGTGACGGTCCTTTTGAGTAATGATCAAGATCCTCAACTAGTGCTGGTTTTCGACATAGAATCTCAATTATGAAATTTATATGTCCCAAATTAGCAGCTACATGTAAAGGAGATTGCATGAAACGACCTGAATTTTGGATATTGCATCGATCAAGGATTAGCGGATCCTCGTCTAGCAAGTTGAGCAAGGATGGTACGTCTCCCTTAAGTGCTGCATCATACATTCTCTCTATTATTTGTCCTTCCGTGTTTTTGTGGTGCTAGTTGGCTTGCAAGTTTGGTATGTATGATAATGATTTGATTAATATACTAGTACTTTGTTTTCGTACATTATATTATATATAGATACAAGAACATCTAAACATCCTGTAAAAAAAAAAGAAAAAAAGAAACATAATTTTTCCTACGAATCCAAAGAAAAATATGTCGGAGAATTGGTTCAAGTATTTAGTTTTTTTAATCAAATATTTTTGTACTGTGTTTTGCTAAATTAAATAATTTTCAATGAAATGGTGTTGTAATTGAGTTGTCCGTGTTTTTTAAATGATTATCAAGCCATAGTTGATTAAAATAATTCCCCAGGGTTAGAAAATTTTGTTTGATAATCATAATTGAGTTAAAGTGGCAGATTTATTGAGTTAAAGTGGCTGATTTATTGTTACTTGGATAGTAATCTAGTTGATTAATTGATTAATTTGTTGATGGTCTTGTTGAGTAATTCAGCTGTTGGATTTATTGAGTTAATGTGGCTAATTTATTGATTAATATGCAAACTCGTCATGAACATTTGTAATTTTTTTTAAAATGTAATTGCATACATTAGTATGTACTTTTTATTCCTTGTTATATTAACTAATTTGCCTTAGCACATTTTTGAACTTTAGTATACGTTGTCGGTTGTGCTACCCCTCCTCCAAAATCCTGGATTCGCCACTGTATGTAATGATCTATAAACCTTATTTCCACTTAGTTCTCGTTTAATAATTTTGATACATAGTGAGCTAAGATTGCACATTTGCATGACCATATACAAATTCAACAAGATATCATATTATAAGCCAAATTGGCATAACTGGAATAGATCACCAAACTTTTTTCTCCAATGAGACAATAATTAATTCCAACTCAAATGTTGCTGATGTAAGGTGGTACGTATATATTAACAATAACATGACATCACTTAGCTTCTTCACATCCGAAGAAACTTTAGCCCACTTCAATTTTTCTTGTTTTAGGATGTGTTTGACAAAATATAATTGTAGTATTAGCTCTTAGATGTGCAATAAATAGCTTTTAAATGTCAACAAGCTGTTAGTTGTAAAGATAAATTATTAAAGTATAAGTGCTTGATAAGTCGATGACTAAGGCCTTGTTTAGTTCAACTTATTTTTACTTATTTCAGAAAAAATAAGTTCAGATCAGAACATCGTTTTATGTGCGGTTTTTTATCGCTAAATATTCTTAATTTCGTAATGATTTTTTTTTTTGAAAATTAGATATTAATAAACTACACATTATTACGAATCTAACAAGGTTCCACTTGATATATTTTTTCCTTATAGATTATCGTACACTTAAGGTCAAAGTTTGGTCAAATCAGACAATCAGATCAGATCAGACCAGACCAGATCAGATCTGTAAAAATAAGGTAAACCAGACAAGGCCTAAGCTAGCTGTTACATATAAATATTAATTTTTTCTTTCTTCTTAAGAGTATAGATTAAACATCAACAACTACATTTGATTTTCAGAAGCTATATTGCCGCTATATTGCCAAAAACTACCACCACCACTAAAAGCTACCCTTACCACTATATTGCCAAACACTCAAATTTGTTTATAAGTAGTGATTAAATTTTATATGTGGCTGATCACCTCGTGTGGCAGGGGTTATCTATTCAGAGGTTACTTATACAGGGGTTACTCGGCCGGTCGGTCGCGGGTTACTCGGTCAGAGGTTACTCAATCGGTTAGGGGTTACCCGTTAATTGTTTTGGCGTGTGCTAGCTGGCCACAAGGTGTGGCCAACCACATAGAAAACGCGCTAACCGACTGAATAACCTCAAAATAAGTAACCCCCTACCGATTGAGTAACTCCTGAAAAAGTAACCCCAACCACACAGTATGGCCCACCATACAAAAATTGCACTATGGACTAAAATTAAACCTACTTAAAGCTAATGTTGTATACACCCTTAGCTTAGTCCATTTTCGAACTATAGTTTTAAAGAACACAAAGTCCATTTTCGCACACTAGCGAATATCTAGATAAGAGCATATGCATTTCATTGGATACAGATTATACATGAGATCTCAAATAAATGTCACAAATAAAAGCATAATTGTAGATAATCTACTATTCACCGTAATTATATTTTTTTTAATGGTAAGGAGGACCCTAATCAGGTACTTGGGAGTAGAGGGGAGGGAAAATCCCTATCCCCGAGTGTGCAAATGAGTTAGAATGGGTTGGAATGAAGTTAAAATCTATTCCATCTAGCTTTTTGTTTGGTTGAGGTTTTTAGTTTTAGAATTCATACTTCTATAGTATGAGATTCCATACAAATTCATTCCAATATGATGAACTAAACACCCCCTTAATAGGATTCGAATCCCATACCTCTAAGATTTGAGGTAAGAGTCTTATCAAGTAAGCCAACACTTTGTTGGCATTCATCGTAATTACATTGCAGTCATATTAGATAGTTATCAAAATATTCTACTTCTTATAAAAATATAAAAATCTTATAAAACCAATTTATTTTCATTATTAAGTGACTCTTAAATATGCTTTGTCTACTTTTTTGATTTTGAAGGTATAAACCCTATTTTATTATTGGTAGAACTCTACCTTTTAAAGCTTAATAAATACAAAGTTGTATTATCTTAACCCTAATATATATGAGTGTCTCTATATTTTGTGCGTGTTAACTTTCTCTTATCGTTAAAATTACAAAGTTAGGCCTTGTTTACTTCACCTGAAAAAAAAAAATATTCAGTAAAAATAATTTTAGTTTAGTTAATTAAATTCACTTCAGTAAAAATAATTTCAATTTAGTAAAAATCAGTAAACTTAAAGAAGAAATATAATAGAAAACCAGTAAAAATAATTTCAATTCAGCAAAAATAATTTCAGTTTAGTAAAATTAATTTCAGTTCAGCAAAAATAATTTTAGTTCAGTAAAAATAATTTTAGTTCAGCAATAAGGTGAAGTGAATGGAGCCTTACTCATATTTACATATGTAAAATGATGATTATATCCTTAGATAAAAAATTGTGCATCATTTCTTATTGTATGGGATAGCTTCGGCAGAGCTCTTCCCATGCTCCTAACCTCCCGTCTCCAGTCAGCAAGAGCTGGCCTGAGTGCCTCAGACCACCACTTGAGGGGCTAGTTGTATAGGGTAGCTCCTGCTGAGCTGCTTCGCTCTCCTAACATTACTTAAAGGGTACGCACTCGTGCTACTCCAGTCCAAGGCAAGGGGCTCAGCCTCACGGCTGACCCCAGAGGGCTCCATCTCAAAGTCAAGGATAATCTCCTAGGGGCTCAGCACTAGGGCTAGCCTCAGCAGGCTTCAACCTGCAGCACCTAGAATAGAGCAAATATAAATAGTAACCCAAGTACAACGAAAAAGAGGTTAGACACACATTCATTTTTCACCACTTACCCATTATTATTCATCCAAAACCTTACCGACTTAAGCATTGGAGGGGGTTCCTCGAAACCACCTTCGAGGGCATAACCACTGCTCATTGTGCAGGTAATCCCAGCCAGCACCCAGGTCCAGCCACCAGCTAGGCTCCGAAACTACACCCGGAACAATTGGCGCTAGAAGGAGGGGGTAGTTCCAACACCTTAGCTCAACTAGTAAGCTTGTTCGAGGCTGGGAAAGCTGCCATGACGGGGGAAAAACTAGATCTGGCGATTAAAACACCTACAACTAATAGTACCCAAACACCACAAAATAAATCCGATCTTGCAAAAATAACCGTAAAATCAACTCCAATCAATATCCATAACCCAAATCATGCTGGAGCTTCTTCTGGAAATACCAAAAACACAAATGGAGCTCATAACCAATCGGACCAGCTCAAACAGTTCGATTCGGAATGCCGTACACGAACCAAAACAACAAGGTCAGGGGATTGGAGTAGAAGGAGCTGGTAGCCCTAAGGAAGATAGTGAAAGAGTTGGAGGCTAGAAACTTAAATAGAGAATGGAGCTCAGGGGAGTCAGGCGAAGTCCCCGCTGGCAACCCGCGCAGCAGATCCCCTACCCACAGCCAGTCTCTGAGCCCCACGTGCTTCAAGAAGGCAAAGATCATGGTGATCCCTAAGGACTCACTCTTCTGCAAGGAAATTCTAGAGGAACCGATGGAGAAAATCAAGATGCCTTCATGCAAATACAATGGCACAACAACCCCTAAGAACCATTTATCTGTCTTTAAAAGTCATATGGTCTTATACACCAGAACTGACTCAGTCTGGTGTAAAGAATTTCCTCCAACCCTGGAGGGATTGGCTGCGGAATGGTATCGTTCGCTAGAGAAAGGGTCAGTTTACTCGTACAATGGCTTGAAGAGGCTATTCATGAATCATTTTGTCACACTGGTAGACCGTACCAAAATGACAACAGAACTAATGTCGCTAGAGCTGGGCGAGACTGAATCACTCAGAGATTTCATCACTCGGTTCAATAAAAGTGGCAACGTCGATTCCCAACATGAGCCAAGAAAGGGCGTTGTTAGCAATGTAGAGCGGCCTACTCCTAGGGTCAGCATTCAAAGAGTACATGGGCAGGAAGAATCTGAAAACACTAGCAGTGGCCCTGAGTAAGGCCCATGAATTCATTAAGGGGGACAAAACAGACAGAGCCATGCTGGCCAAAAGGTCTGCCTCTGCCAAATCAGGCAGAAGGGAAGAGCCCGGTAGGGCAGAGGCAGCTGGCAAAGCAGAACCCAACTCTGTTGGGTACGGAAGGGCGGACCAGCAGAGGAGAGACAATGAAAGGTCTTCAGGCCAGAGGAGATAGGGCAGAGGAAGATTGCAGGGCAGGTATGAACAATACACCCCGCTAACTCACAGCCGATCTCACATCTTCAAGGTGAACAAGTATGATGATAAGTGGCAGAGACCACCACAGATGACTACCAGTAACCTAGACCCAAAGAAATGGTGCGACTTTCATAGAGATAAGGGTCATACGACCGAGGAATGCATTTA